CCTTGACAGATTTCTATTGCTACCATTTGTGTCACGCACTTAATGTCTTATGATGATACCTGTTTCTTACCCTCCAGTGTCTGTGTATTAGAAACCCAGGCAGGCATGTCTGGCCCGGTTCTCTGCTTAGGATTCACAGGAAAAAGTCAGTGTGACCCATGCTTGTGCGCCTTGCTAGAGGGTCTGGGATGAGTTCATTTCTAAACTCAGTTGGCAGACTTCAGTTCCACAAGGTTGCAGGACTCAGGTCTCGGTTTCCGTGCCAGCTCTCAGCAGGGGGTGTCCTCATGTCAACGGGCTATCCTTGTTCCTTGTTCCCTTCCCTCTATTGCAGAGGCAGCTATGATAGGGTTCCTCTCCCGCTCCCTGTCTCCCTGACTTTCTTTCTGCCTCCTTTCTCTGACTTGTCTGCTCCTCACATGCTTTTAAAAGCTCGTGTGACTTTGTCAGGTCCTTGTGGATAATCCAGGATAATTTTCCTAATTTATATTCATCTTATTAAGAAACTTAATTCTTTATGCAAAATCTCTTCACAACAGTACCTAGATTAGTGTTTGATGGAAAAAAACCAAGGGGTAGAAATCCTTGGAGACATTTTTAGAATTCTACCTACCACCCCCAACACACACACACACACACACACACACACACACCACACACACACACACACACAGCAAAATGACAAAATTGGAGGTTTTCCTGTGTGACTGTTTGCAGCAAAAGGGATTTGTTTCCCTTTCAGAGACAATATGTGCTGTGATAATTCTATGGTATTTACACATTTGGTGTTTAAACCTCATGGACTGCATTATGCATATCTTTAGGAATACTCTTTACATAAATTAGGATGATTTTCTTTTTCCTGAAAACACTGCAGCATACCACACATTCTGGGTGGAAATGCGGAACTGTTTACACCATGTGCCAAATTAAACTCTGGGAAATCTGATGTACAATAAAAATGTGCTCCAATATATGCACTATTTTAAGTTTCCTAGGACTTTCTTTGCAAATATAATTGCAATTTAATATTAAAAAGCTATTTAATTATACTATCGAGAATGTATCTGAATTTCTCTGGCATTTTACAGAGAAAGTAATCTTAAAATATACCTCATTATTTTCCCCCATGCTCTTGCTTAGAATTGACCTCTTAGGATGGACCAATTTCTGTCATGTATGTGCAGAGAAGTAAAGCCTGAAAATTGGGGTTAGAGGATTGGGGTTCTATCACCTCTATCCAGCCTTCTCAGCTCTCTAGGCTGGGCTGTTTTGAGCAAGTCCTGTATTGTTCCTTCCATGAGGTTTTCAACATTCCCGTCATGGGAATCATAATCTTGAATCTAAGGTTTAATAAATGTCTAAGAAAATTCTTTATAAAGTGCTAGATACTCACTGGTTTTACACCCAAACTCAACACCTTAACACTCTCCCCCTCCCTCTCTCACATAGACACTCACACTTCTAGTTATTATAACTCTCTCAGCTTTCTTCTTCACAGTTGTATTGAAAACTTCCGGGATCACTAGACTAGATATAGTTTCTGAGTTTCTGAAATGTCCTTTGAAAAGGACGGTCTCAAAAATGACAGCAGAAAAGATGACGATGACGGCACATCTCCTTTCCTCCCTAGCTCTGAGAATGAGTTCACTAGGGGTGCCAAGCGCTAGCCACGTCTACATGATGTGCATTTCATTGCTTCAGCGTGGAGAGCCTGAGTGTGAATGTTGTTCTATGAGGGTGATATTCTTTTCTTTTAATGTGTTAAAATATTTATTTACTTTGGAGAAAGTCACACTCCCTGCTTTTTGAGACATGTCCTTGAAATGTATGAACCCTTCTAGAAATAAGGTGCCGTCCTCGAATTGAACTTGACCACATCTGCAAGTTGGAAAACCCAAGTTCCTCCATGGAAAGCTTTGTGCTGGTTTGACACTCTCAGAATGTCTTGTTCTTCTCCAAGCCTCAGTCCTGTCTTTGGAATAATGAAGCTCTCGTACACCAGACCTAAGTCACCTTCCTAGCTCAGGCCTGGCTGAGGAACTCCGGGGTTGACATGAGAACTCACAACGCCGACTTGCACAAAAGCCAGGTCTCCCAACCTCTGTCCCAGCTTCTCCAAGGGGAAGAAAGAGACATGTGTCCCCATACCTCTGGCCCAGCTCCACTGATGTCTTGGGTATAGGAGAGCAGGGGTGATACCTTTTCTGCGCTGTGTCTGGGTGGCTTCTGTACATCTCAGTGTATGGGAACTGGCTGAAAAGGAGGAGCTATTCTTCTAGCCATGGGGTAGTGGCTGCCCTTAAATAATGACCTCTAAGCTGAAGTGTCCTTAGTGGATCTGGTTCCAGAGCCAGCTTCCGCTCTCAGGCCGACATCTTCAGCTCTGTGAGGAGAGGGCTGCTGGTACAACGGGCCCCATGAGCATCCCATCTTCAAAGGGAAATTCCTGCTCAACTCCATCTCCTGTCCCTGCCTCTACATACCTCTGGCATTTGCAAACCCTCTCGTCAGCCTGTGCTTCCATCTGTCCCTGTCCCTCATTCTTCTGGTTTCCATGGAGAGGCTGGCAGCGGAATGTGTGACTGACAGTGTGTCCTTCTCCTGCAGCCCCTTCTGGGTGCCAGAGCCATGGGCTCCTCCCAGTTCCTTCCTTAGCTTCCCCCTACCCACTTACTGGCCAGGCCTCTGTGGTTCTTCATGCTCATGATCCAAAGCTGATGCGTGGCTCATGCAGCAGGATGCAGCTGGGTCAGGAGGAAAGCAGAGAGTTTATGACAAAAATCAGCCTTGGGGACATCTCAAGCACTGGCCTGGCGAGTGTGTCACATCATTTTAGACCAACACACCTCCCGGGTTTTTATGGCAGTCCCTGGAAGGAGAGAGGTTCCTGGTCTTCTCATCCGTCTGCAGCTCAGCAGAGGACACTCACCATGTCCGCATAAAGCCAGCCACTCTGTTCTTCCAGCCTGATCCAGCATCTGGGCCCTGCAACCACATCCTCTGCTAGCAGTACTTCCTCTGAGGAGCCCTGGTCTCCCTGGAAGGACCCCCTGTCACCCTGGGCACTTTCTCTGGTCTATTCTGCAGAGCCTGGACATGCTCTCAGCCCCCTCCCAAGGTGGTGCTGGGTACTGCATTTTCCTACCAGGCCTTGGCCCTGTGTGAGTCTCTCAGACATTCACAGCCTCTCCCCAGGGCCCTTGCTAAGATAAAAGCTTCTAGAAGGACTGACTGACTCTGAGGCCAGCAGAAGCAGATTCTTTGTCTGACATCAAGGCTGCCCTCTGCCCACCCTGCACATTCCTCACGGATGTGCAGCCAGCAGTGGACTCCTAGGCTCAGGTTTGCAGCTTTGGGAGTCCCTGGCTTTTTATGACAGAACATTTTATATGGAGTAGACTCTGCTGCAGCTCCCCAAACTGCAGACCAACCCTTCACTTTTTCTTCACTCTAACACATACTGTGTTTCTTACTTATATCTGACAATTACCCACTACTTGTAAGATATCCTAGGGGTTGATGTCATCTTTCTACCTTACACTGAATACTCTATACAAAAACAAACGCTAGGAACTTCATTCTGAGTAGCACAGTAGAGGTGATCCCATAGTGATGTTCATGCCAAGACTGTTTCCTAAATGGGCTTGAATTAAGAGGTTATATTTTAAATAATAACAAACCTTAAAGCTTGACATAATTTGAGCTGTTCATTCGAAGTTCATGGTATTTAATTAATCGTAGCTAGTTTGTATATCTGAGCTTGCCTGGATTTGGTGTCCTTTCTGACTCTAAATCTCCAGAGCCTGGGGACAGTACCTTGTTGCTCTGGGTCGCTGGACACAGATAGAGGGATGGTGGCATCCTTGACTCTCCTGGTTAAGAATTTCTCTAGAACCTGTGAAGATGTACATCATCACCTCCTGATGTCACACTTGCAGTAATCTCATGAGGGAGATGTCGCCTTATTTTACAAGAGGCCTAGGGGGTGAAGCAGTGTTCAGAATCATTCTAATGTTACTGACCCTGCTGAAGAGTTGACTTTGAAACCCTAGCCACGTAGGTGTTGTTTGCCCGTACCCCACATCCACCTCTCCTGACTCATGGAATGTTCAGAACCTTTCGCTTGGCAGATATTTTAGCTGACAATTAGCTGAGAATTTCTAACTCCAGTTTAGCTTAATGGTGAGCATTAAGTGTTTGTTGCTGTTTGTTGCTTTTCTTCGTCAAAAGATATCATTAACCATCCTTAGTACCATGAGGTGGCCTAAGAAACTGCGGGTATCAAGATCTGAGAGTCAATACCTGAATCAATATCCTCGATCAGTAGACAATTCTACTTTTCTGCAGACATAGCTCTGATATGTTCATTCTTGAAAATCCTCAGACAATAAGCAAACTACAAAAGTGAAGGTACTAATGCCAGTGTACTGACTGCATAATTTTTATTAATGGAATGAAAGTCCTAGATATGTAACTTGTATTTATTCACAAGATAATGGCTTTTGACAAATCTGCATCCTCTCAGAAGAAAAAGAAAGATACCTCCTCATGAATCATTTGATTTGTATTCCTCTTCATCATCTGGTACAGTGCTCTTATATTGGAATTGTTGAAAATCAAGTGATTCACAATTGTACAGTTGCCCAAATTAAAACATGAGTGGAATCTATAATAAGACTCCTGAATCTTCTAAGCTGAGAAGACGTCCAGGCAATTAGCCAAGGCAGGGAGACATTTTGCAGATGAGGAAACAGAGGCCCCGGGGATATTTCTGATCCATATAGAATCAATATCCTTGTAGGGGAAAAAGGGACACTTCTTTGTTTATGCTTTTTCAAAATAAGATACTTGTAGAGTGTGTGTGTGTGTGTGTGTGTGTGTGTGTGTATAAACATCGTTTTTCACCTATACATATCAACAGTTATAAGACTAATGTAATAACCTTTTTACATTTTTTTAAAGAAAAAAGGAAAAATTCCTATTCTCTTGCATTTCAGAGTGGCAGCCTGTCCAGATGTGATGCTCCTTTAAAGGTCAGGACACCTGGCTGCTTTGGAGTCCTGCCACTACTTGACTGTGTGGTAAGCTTCCTATGTGTTGGGGACCCGGCTTCTCAACTGTAAAAGGAACTGACATAAATGAAAAGATCACTAACACAGATAATGGTTGAGAATGAGCCAGCAGGGATGTCCCTTAATAAGGGTGGGGGATTGTTGTCTAGCAGGAACACTTAGTTCCTAACCCTGGACCATTGATCTGTTATGAATGTAATGTTGGTCAAATAGACATTTTAAAAAGTTTATATTTTTCCAATAAAAATGTTTTTATAATTGATTTTTTATGGTATCAAGTTATAATACATTGGTGTTACTTCTTAATATATTCTTTTTTAAATACGTATAGGAAACGTATAAATTTATAAATGTCAATGCTATTGTAACTATTTAGAATTGATAAAATAGAACTTGCGCCAGTCATTTCACTGAAGCAAAAATGGCCAGGAAGCCTCAATTTTCTTCTCACTGACCCTGCTGGGACCTTGAAAATCCCAGGGTGCTCTGTTGTGTTATCAGATCTTCCCCGAGGAGCTTGAGGAACCTATCATGCAAAAGCTGGCATGCAAAAGCTCCCCTCCCTTTGGACAAGTTTTGTGAATGCCTTTTCGAATAAAGGCTATGAACTAATCCTCATCATTCATTATATTTAAATAGCATACCATTCCAGTGAGATGCTTTTCCAGATGTTTCAATAAGTGACGCCATTTGCTTGTGGTTCATATTATAGCTTTTGCAGTACAAGGTGGTTTTAGAACTTTTGCTCTTATAAATAAAAGGGAATCAGTCCATCAATTAAAAATTCATCTTTGGATCCAGTATTTTTCATCATTTTTTTATTTTAGAAACTTTCTGTTCTTTTATAGCAAACATCTAGTGTTAGGTATGACTTTGGATGATGCATACAGTGTATAGTTTTTCTAACAGGGATCTCACATTTGAGGCCTAGTTGCTTCATTATAGAGGCTCAAACACAGGATTTTAAAATTCTGGCACATGTCTTCAGAGGATTATTTGCATAAAGGTCACTGCATCTGTATCTCTATGTTCAGGAGGATCCAGCTCCATAGATAGTATATACTTGGCCCTCACCAGCACTCTACTAATTCTAGGAAAGCAGTTCTGATGCGCAAAAACTGAAAGAGCCCACTAAGGAGATGTATCCACACAGCCAGGGCAGGCCAAGGCAAGGCCAGTGACCCCTAAGTTCAGCAAGCAGGGGCAGGGCCCAGATGAGCAAAGGGAAGAGATGGAACCTTAAAGGAGAGGCAGGGAGGCAGGGGAGGCTGGTGAAGATGGGGCAGGTGTAGACAGAGGGTGCTGGTGGAGACAGGTGGGTGCAGAGGAGATAGGGGAAGCAGGTAGAGACAGACGGAGGAAGTTGAAAGCCCAGCCCAGTCATGGTTCCCATTCATCCTGTTCATCCATCTTACATACTCATTGTTACAAGAACTCTGCTTTAACTTTGACATTTCCTTGATTAAATACCTGAATACTGTGTTAGCCTCATGAAAGAATTCATCCTGCATAGTCCATCAAACACGGCCTGTACCAGGCCCCTGCCAGCCTTTGACATCCACCACCCATCCTGCCACCTCCAGACTCACAGCCCTACGGATGGACTACAAGCACTCCCCTGACACCCCTGATGCAATCTTTGTTCCTGAACTGCCTTCTGCCTTCCTCTGGGAAGTCTTTGATGACTTTTTCCTTCTGTCATAGGGTGGGGTCCCTCTTCCTTCTGGGTAACTAGCACATTTCTTTTTATGACCAGTGTTGCTGCTTTCCCTGGCCTCGCACGCCAGCTCTGTACTAGGTGTTGTGACACAGCTGAGGCCCAGATGGGCATCCTGGTGTCAGAAGACAGGATGAATAGTGCCCAAGGAGGCTTTCTGTCTCAGTGCTCTTCCCTTGCTGTTGTCACCCCTAGTTCAGGAGAATATGAGTCTTCTGCAGACCAGCCTGTGCCTTCTCTCCTGCACCCTTGGTGCCTGACAGCTGCCACTGCTGAGGAGATCCAGGAAGTGCTTGTGGGATGAAGAGAGGAAGGGCTCCCTTGCAGAAAGGCGTGGATCTGAGTGGGAGGCAGGCAGGCACCCTGCTGGCAAAGGGGTCCCTGAACTGGAGAATGAAGAACTGGCAGGCAGACAGGCTGGAAAGCAGGGGGCTCATCTGTCCTTCTTGGGGAAGGAAGAGACCCTGTAACATCTGAGGTCAAAATTAGCATCACTGAAAGACAGCACTTTCCCCAAAAGTTAAAATCCAGAGCTTTAGATGAAACTTACCTTCCGACTAGATCCTTCCCTCTGCCTGCTCCTTCCCCATCCCAGGATCCCTGGAAAGCTGTCACTCAGCAACACTGGGAACAGTGTCTGTTTACAGGAGATCCACTCAGCACCTACGCTGACACAGGACCCTGGGGATCTCAAATGGAAATGCCAGAGGTGCTGACTGTGGGCAGGAGAGCCAGGCCACAGGGGTGGCAGCTTAGAGTAGTACCCCATAGGCATGCACACCTTCTGATTTTCAAGAGAAATGAAGCATCTAGAATTTTTGCTTTAAATGCTACAATTTAAAAATATAAGCAATGGAATTTTAAAAAATTTTGTGCCAAGTGAGCTAAATAGGCTCCATTTCCTGGCTGATAGCCAGTTGTCCACCCCAGTAACTATGTGTGGATGAAGTCTTGATTATTTCTTTATTTCCAGATATCCATTTCTCTGCCCTTTCTGTACACAACTCAACCTCTTCCATCTTGCTAAAACCACGTGAGTCTAGTCCTCAAGCGTTTTGTGATGGTTCTGTCATCCTGGTTTGTTGATACAGGCCTTGGAGCCCGTGTTCAGATCAGGTAGTTGGCAGAGTGGTGAACAGGTAAGGGCCACATAGTCCAGCCATCTCTGCAGGCCAAGGACAGAGCCACAAGCTGAAACATGGACACACAGTGATCAGGTTAGTGCAGCCGAGACTGTTGTCAGTAGGGGAAAGGCAAAGAAAACGGGCAAAATGTTGATGTACCTGCAAAGCTGAATGACTGTTTTTTCTTCAGCACTGGAGACTGAATCCTCATGCATTCTAGGCAGTCACTGTATCATTGCACTAGATCCCAGCCTTCACCAGGCTGGCATCAAACTTAGCCATCTTCCTACTTCAGCCCCCCAAGTACTGAATGCCTTTCTATAACACATTTCACAGGAAAAAAAAATAGGTCAGCATGACTCAAAACTCAGGCCAAGTCCCCTGCAGTCCAATCAAGAGTGTTTAGAGCTCCCTTGCCATGCTTGGAAGCTGGAGATCAGAAGTAATGAGCATGCACAGAAATGAAAAGAGAGCCACAAAGTCCAGGAAGATATTTTAAGCAAAGGGAACCAAGGAATCGTGCTCCATCTGCTAGCAGTTGGAATTTGTAAACATCACCAGGATAGAAGAATATTAAGGAAATGAGGAAGTCAGGGTTTTGAGTGTTGTGCATCAGCCTAAAATAAATTTTTGAAAAAAAAGTTTTTCTCTAAATTGTATGAAATTCTCAATTTAAAAGCAAATCAACTCAAATCAACTCATAAACTCACACATTGCCTTTGCAGACACTCAGTTTGAGCTTTTGTCTTTAGAGCTAAAAAAAAAAAAAAATCAAGTCAAACAGAGTGTCCACAATGGGTAGTAAACACACTCTAGTGTATGTGAATACTATGCAGCCATCGAAAGGAAGGAAATGCTGTCATATGCTCCAACATGGATGAGCTTGAAAGATACGCTATGGAAAATAAGCCAGCCATACAAGGACAAATACAGTGTAATTCCACTCATGGGAGCTTTCTTGAGTAGTCAGACACAAAAAGTGGAATGGTGAGTGCCAGGGGCTGGAGGAAGGGAGAAGAAAGAGCTTGTATTTACTGGGGATAGAGCTTCAGCTCAGAAGACGAGGACATGCTAGCGCTGGAGGTGGATGGTGGAGACAAAAAAGGATTAACTGGTAAATTTGATGTTGCTTGTATGTTACTTCAATTTTTGGAAAATCACACAGGAGTGAAACTTCAGCCACATCTGTGATCTCAGGGCTGTGACATCTTTAAGACAGGTTTCTTTCTTTAGCATCATGTATGCCAGCATCCTCCATGTTGAAACACATGACAGCATTTTCTTCTTCGTTCCTCAGAAGCAATTTGTCCCACATGGGCTGGGATACCCTGGTGACTTTGTGGCTAAGCAGAAACCTCAACCATTTTTTCATAACTCCGTCCTTCTCTTCCTGACTCTTCCAGGATTAGCACATCCTGTCCTACTGAAAACAAAAACACTCTTTAAATTCTGGAGAGGGTATTTAAGGAAATTCTTCCTGCACATGTTATTCAGAGTAAAACTTTCCACAAATCTGTATTTTTCTAGGTCTTAGATGGGTGTAAGTTTATCTCTAAAATTCTGGACTATACCAAGGTGATTTAAATTTTTCCTTAACTTTCTGTAAGGAACCCACAAACACAAAAGGGTTTGCCTGGCCATCTTTTGCTCTTTGTAACCAGTGTGTTGAACAACTTGCTCATCCTTTCTTAGCGGCCATTTGCTGCTAGCCTAAGGCCTTTGGGGATGCTTTGTGATTCTGTTGATTCCTACAGTTTTTAATGCATGCTGGAACTTTCCTGGCTTGTCCCACAGAGGAGAAGGTGATGGGGCAAGGCTGTTCAGACCTCCTGGCCAGTCACAGAGTCCAGTCTGAAGGAAGCTCAGTCAAGTTCCTTCCCACAGCAAGACAAGTGGGCAGTCATGGTGAGATTTCACCCACCAAAGTCCCAGTCCCCAAGAAGTTCTGCTGTCTAGACTGAGCCAGAGGCTTTTTGGGCCGACAAGTACCTCTGATTTCATTCTCTCAGGAAATGGAGCCACTCATTCCACAGTTGAGGAGCTTTCTACTTTCCAGGGGCATTTTGTTCCTTGGGTCTTCATTTCAGACCTCCTAGTCCTCAGATTTTCCAGTCTCAGAGTAGAACTAGGAAGGCATGTTCCCCTAAAACTAGAAAAGTAGTTACAGA